GGCAGCACAGTGGCTCTGCACCCCAACACATACCTCCAAATCCACTTCCTGTGTAAGTTCCTCTGATTTGTAGGACCTAAATCACATCCAGGCCCTCAGCTGCAAGGAGGTCTGGGAAATGTAGTTTTTAGCTCTTCTACATCTGCCCACAGCAAGAGGGTCGGGATGACGGCTGAGGGGTCTAATCCACAGTGTCCTCCACATACCCACAATGCAAAGACCTCCCAACTTGGCTTCACACCCCGTCTCTTCCTCTCAGTGAGCTGTGCTACAGCTGCACCACCCAGTCAGCTCAATGCTTCATCCGACGTGCAAAACCCAGGCAGCAACACAGGTAGCGATAATCGAAACGTTTTGTGCGTGGGCCAAGTCTGGCCGCAGATGTTGCGGCATCAGTGAGCAGGGACCCGCGGGTCCCTCGGCACTCGGACACGATGCTCGGAGGGGCAGCGAAGCCCAGCCTCAGGGCAGACCACACTCCCTTCTGATTCCCTCTTCCTGACTAATGGATGCAGAGCTGGCCACGTCTTGGTTTTCTTTGCCAGGCCTCTGTGTTTCAGTAGAAGTGGCTCCCAGTAAGAAGATTGGTCTGGGGGAGAAACAAGGCCCTTGACCATGCGCATCAAATGAGAGGTGCTTGTTATAACCAGAGGCAGCCCCAGAAGGTCAAGATTAGAGGGGTTTGGGGCAGCGCTCTGAAAAGAAATGGGGGCTAGAGAACGTGTCCAGAAATCTTGCATATGCAAGGTCTGTCCAGAAGGTATCCAGCCATGTAACATGAAAATAGAGACATTTATTGAAGGAGATACAAGATACAAGAAACATTGCACATGGGACAATGACATCTCAGTCCCCTTCAAAGGAGGCACCTCAGGACCTCACACAGTTCTCCCAATAGCCATCAGCTGCCCTGCATTATTTTCCTGAATCTCATCAATGGTCTAAAATCCCTTCCCTTTCAAAGGTGATTTTAATTTTGCAAAAAGCCAGAAGTCACAGGACACCAAATCTGGGCTGTAGTGGGGCTGAGTCACCTGGGTGATTTGATGTTTCACCAAAAACTCTGCATGATGCGATCCATGAGCAGGCACGTTGTGATGAAGCTGCCAATCGCCCATAGCTGTGACCTTCTGAATCACCTGAATAGTTTCCATGGAGGAATGTTCAAACTTAACGCCAAATTTGATGCAGATTCGTTGCTCTCATCGCTCAGTCATTTTGAATGTAACAGCCACACAGTACACGTGCTCACTCAACAGCGTCTTGTCTACCACCCGCGCTGATAAGTACAGTGAAGTCATTGTTGCTCACGCATGCTCATTCCAGTCCACTCTCTTTGGCTGCCAGGTGACATCGATGTCATGCAAACCTCATTATATTAACAGTGGCTGGACTGTTTCCAGACAGCCCTTGTACAGAGCAGGGATGTGGCTTTGATGGAGACTGTTCATGTAGACTCAGAGTAATACAACTAGCCTTTCTCCAGGCTTCCTCTAGCTAAGGTGGTAAAGTCATCAACTATCTTCCTTAAAAAATGAGAAGCCCCCAAATCCTGAAGGCAGTCATTTCTAGTGGGGGTTGCTGATGGGGACCAGTTAAAACACTCGGCTGACAGAGGGCGTAGGGCCTGGGAAGGGGAGTGTGAAGTGACAGAGGACAGATCGCTGGCCCCCGGACGCCACCATTTCCCAGTGGTGTGGCCTTAGAAGGGTTACTCCCTCTCTCCGATGAGAAGCAGAAACACTGGTAACTGAGCCACAGGTTCATTGTGAACGTGAAGTGAATGTACATGCATACAGCCCCGTAGCAGATGTGAGTGTCCCCCCGATGTCCCCTGGGGCCACCTTGGAAGTTACCTGCAGACAGTTACAGCTTCCAGGGTTCTCTGCCGTAGCCCGTTCTCTGGCCGTGGGAGCCCTGACTGCCCCTTTCCCAGAGCAAACCAGAAGTGCTGGTACACCAGTGCCTCCAGGGGAGACCCCCAGTGAGGGGGAACAATGCAGAGGTAAGCACCCAGCTTCCCCACCCCCCCGGACCAGTTCTGAGCTGTGTCACATGCAGTATCTCCGCAGGCTGCCCCGCTACACGGAGTCTCTGCTGCCCTCAGTGGTGACTCCCGCACCAACACACCCTCCACTGGCCTTTCCCTTCCCCTTGTCTCACGTCCTACTCCCTTCCTGGGCTTCCCAGAGTCACTTCCGAACTCTCCCAAATCCTTGTCACAGAGCCAGGCCACAGGGGAGGGAGTGGGCAGAAACTGGGAGGCTCCCCAAGAGAGGTAACAGCCCGTGAGACATCAGGAGATGGCAGGAAACTGGGGGCATTTGGGCAGAACAAGCTCTGGGCCCACCTCTCCCACTCCCTTGCGTTGGCGCGCCTCGGGTGCTCGCTTCAGCATCCCAGGTCTCTTTGCAGTTTCCAAATCTGCAAAGAAGAATCAAAATCACTAAGTTAGGCCTAGGGGGGCCCTGCGGGGTCAGCGCTGGACCGTTCTGAAGACCTAGGAAGCACCGTGCAAATGCTCCTTTCTGGAATCGTCACCTGGAAAGCCTCACTTGGGACACTTTCGCTGGCTGATTATGCTCGGTTTCACGACAAACAGGGTCAGGCTCTCGGAGAACAGGTGCTCCTGGGAGGGTGGCGGTGGCTCGGAAACTTCCCATGAGGACAGCCCACGCCCCTGGAAAGTGGTCCGGCTTTCTTCATGGCAGTTGGGCGGTACGTATCAAGTGCCTTAAAAATGTCCACTTCCTCGGATCAAGGAGCTCCCCTACTATTAAGTAAAATCATTGCAAATGCTACAGAAGTGGGCAAGGTTGTTCTTTATAGCAACAACAAAAACACTAGGGAACTTGTCTGTGTATTACAAGTTGCAGCACATGGTAAGTCACGGTGGGCCAGTGTATGCACCACCTGGACACACCGCTATGGTACAATGCTGGACAGGTAGCATGATGCAAACCTAGAGGCGCACTCAGGATGACCCCAAATCAGAAGGGCCCGGGGCACTTAAGTTTCAGCGCTCAGCTGAAATCTTGCCCTGGAAACTGCCCTTTACCAAGGCAGCCACTGAGCCAAAGCTATAGAACACACACTTTAAAATGACCGGTGCTTATCTCTGGCTGGTGTGAGTACAGGTGCTTTGCCTGCATGCCCCCTCTCCTCGCCACTGCTGGAACACGCCAGGCACGATCCTCCCTCGGGTGTTTGCATTTGCTCTTCCCGCTACCTGCAGCTCCCTCCCCCCGGGACACAGGCAACCACGCTCTTTCACCAGCTTCGGGTCTTTGGTGAAATGTTCCCTCCCAGGCGAGGCCTCTTCAGATCCATCTTATTTAACATATAGTACCACCTCCCCCAGAACCCCCACTTCCCTGATTTTCGTCCACAGCACCCGGCACACTGTGCATTTTACTTCTTTACTTATTTGCTGTCTGTCTCACCCTTTAGAATGTAAAGTCAAGGACTGGCTTTTTTTTTAAGATTTTATTTATTTATTTTTAGAGAGGGAAGGGAGGGAGAAAGAGAGAGAGAGAGAGAAACATCAATGTGCGGTTGCTGGGGGTCATGGCCTGCAACCCAGGCATGTGCCCTGACTAGGAATCGAACCTGTGACACTTTGGTTTGCAGCCCGCGCTCAATCCACTGAGCTATGCCAGCCAGGGCAGGACCGGCTTTTTTGTCTGTGTTGTTCACTGCTCTACCCTCAGCACCCAGAACAGGTGAGTGCTTTTCTAAGGGGTTCTAAGCACACAGCAGGTGTCTAACCAAACAGTCCACGATGACTAAATGCATGAACAAGACCATTCCATCTCCTCTGGGCTCCTGCCAGCCTCTTTTTTAGGGGCTGAGGGGGCTAAGGTGGGGGGAAGGATGTAGGGAACAGCCACAGGAAATGGGGGGGGGCAGGAAGGAGGGGCTCTGGACAATGTCAGCCAGTGCCAGACAGCAGCTCAGATACCAGGTTCACTATGACATTGGGGTCAGGTGGCAAAAGATTTCCGATGTGGCCCCCAGGTTGAGAGTAGCAACGTGGCCAAGTGTGACGGCCCCAGGGCAGAGAGAAACACGCCAGGGAACCAACCAATCACACGCACAAAACACCCGGGTTTTGAAAACACGCAAGGGAATTGTTCTCAAATACACAAGGAGTTACCAATAGCAGGAAGGTGGTCCTAAGGGGTTGGACTAGGGTTAACGAGTAGAAGTTACAAGACACCTATTTTGGTTTGATATGAACAGCTGTCCCCGACTGTCCCCTCACCGTCCCCCATGACAGCTGTCCAACAATGGCTGAGCCCAGGATTCACTTAGGCATGGGCTGCGCTTCCCCTGGGGATATTCAACAACCATCTATTAAGTGCATTTACTCCTACTCCGTGCCAGGTGCTGTGCTGGGCAGTGCAAAAGCCAAGGAGACTACATCTATAATATTCAAATAAATAAATACATATACGGTGCAGTTACTACTCGTGAAGACGCAAAATTAAGTTGCCAGAGGGAGGGGCTTTACTTCAGACAGGGTTCGGAAGCCTCTCTAGGGCCGCCTGGACAGGTGAGAGAGCCCTGAATGGTGTGCACACTTCAGCAGGTGAGATCAGGGGATGCGCGCCCCGGGGGCAGAGGAAGAGAGGAGCGGCGTGCTAGGGTGGGCAGGGTCCTCAGCGCGCGCAAACTGGAGGAACACAAGGCCGGAGACCCGGAGACCCGGAGACCCGGAGTGCCTTGCCCAAGGATGCACAGCAAGTCAGTGGAGCCATCGAGTGGGGGAGGGTCAGCTGGGTCCCCGTGCCACCACCTGGAAGCCGGATGCCTACCTCGTTGCCGGACCCAGGAGCTGTGAGCAGCGGGGAACCAGGGGCAAGAGGGATGAGGCTGGAAGGTGGAGCGAACTGCGGCCGGACCCCCACTGGGGTGGGGAACGGAGACTGGGGGGCGGCCCGATGACGTCATTTCCGGGGTCGGGGTATATTAGCGGGCGCGCCGTGAGTGCAGCTGCCACTGCTGCCTCTACTGCAGTGTCCCAACTGAGTACAGTGAGGCTGGTGGGCGGACCGATAGACGGACGAACACCGAGACGCTGCGACCACCCCATCTACTGCCAGTGCCACGGTAGCCCGCTCCGCACCGCCCGCCCAGCCACCCCTCGCTCGGGTGCCCGCCGTGCACGGCCCCAGACCTCCGGCTGCTTGGCGCCCGGGGTTCGCCATGCGCTCCGCCGCTGTCCTGGCGCTTCTGCTCTGCGCGGGGCAAGGTGAGCGAGCGCGGGGTCTCGGGGAAGAGTGTCCTGGGCACCCTGCCTCCTCCCGCCCTGTCCGCTCTGACGCCCAGGCACCGCGCGGCACCACACGACCCTCCCTACCTGCCCCACCGTGCGGGGAGTTTTCAGCACCGCGGACAGCGCCTCCGCCTCCCTCCTGACCCCGCGAAGTGGCCTCGGCCCAGAAGCCACAGACCGGACGCTTTGGGCACGACTCCTGACTCGGCCAGGCAGGGCCCCCCGGCGCCTCCACCCGCTGTCTGGGCCGCAGTCCGGGCTGCATCAGGGCCAGCTCCGGCTCCGTGCCGTGGCTGGCCAAGGTCACAGGGGGAGGAGATGGGAGGTCTGAGGCTGGCTCCAACTCTCGCGGCTCTCCCCCTTCATCCTCTCCCTCTCCCCGTGCTCCTGCCCTTGACTTTTACCTCTCAGTACCATGTCTCACAACCCTCCTTCGCCCTCTCTTCTCCCTCACCCCCCGGGTCTCTCTGCCTCTCCCCGCATTCTCCTCCCGCCCCAACCCCATCCAGCCCTTGGCCTTGTTTTCACACTCACCGTCAGCTCCCACACTCCCTCCAGAGCAGAAGCTGCCCCAAAGGGCAGGATGTCAGGCTTCAGGGCAGCCTCTGGGAGACACCCCCTTGGGGCAGCAGCCAGGGAAGGGAAACAAAATCAGCCCCAGCATGTCATTTGGGTAGAGGCAGTTTTGAGCGGGAGCCCTGAGGTGGATGGGCCCCCAGTGAACTCCGCCAGGAAGGACTGGGCTCTCCCCTCAGAGCAGAGGGGTGACCCCAGCTCTCTCTTTTTCTTCCCAGTCAGCGCCCTCCCTGTGAGCAGCCCTGTGAATATAAGGGACACCGAGGTAAGAAGGGGTGCGGGGGTGCCCAGGAGGGGGATAGGAGGCCCCAGTGGACGCCAAACGGCCAGTCCTTGGGCAGCTGCAGAAGTGAGTCTGGCATAAAGCCAACAGCCAGCACTGCGGCTGCCGAGCTTGGGGACAGCTTGCAAAAGAAGACATCAAAGGCTGCCTGATTGCCCCACCATCCTGCTGTGGGGACTTCCCCAGCATCCTCTGAGCGGAGTCTGCAGCCCATGGGGGCCTGTGTCTCTCTCACCTGCGGGACTGAGGTGCTGGACACACTGTCTTGAACATTCCGAGTCTGGCAGACCCACTGAGGCCGGTGGGGGTGGCTGCTCCGTTCTGTGGCCGTGGTCGTCCACACACTCCAGGAGCAGGTCTTCACCTCCCCCTTTACTTTTACCCCTCCCCCCCAAGGCTCTTCCAGCAACACGCCCCACCCTCCAGGCACTCAAGCCGGGGCTCTCCCAAAGGGCTGCCATGAAAACCTTTGTCATGGCTTCTGTGCCCAGGGTCCCTGTCATTTAGGGCTGATGGTGGACGTCACCCAGGAGAGGGACTTAGGAGACACTGGCGGGGCGGGTTCTGTGGCCAGCAGGAGACACTCCACATTGGGCATATACTGGAAATTTGTTCCTGTCTGAGCTGGGGCCATTTTTCCCATCTCTGGTGTTCACAGACTCCTTCGCTGAGAGTCAGATAAATTTCTGCCCCCACCGTTTCCAGTAGCTGTTCTCTTCCATTCCAGAGAGGCTGTGGTTAAAACCCAAAGCATCAATTTGCTCAATTATGTTTCCTCTCCTTTAGTTGCAGACAAGTCTGTATTTAAACCTCTACCACTCATTGTAGCTGTGTGGTCTTGGGGAAATCCCTTAACTTCTCTGAGCTTCCCCTTTCCCCATCTGTAATAATATTTCCCTGGAGGAGAGTTGTGAGGAGTAGGAATCAGGTGTGAGGTGCCTGGCACATAGCAAGTCCTCAGTAAATAGGCACTGTTACTTCTAGAGGTTCCCCTCTCAATCTCCCCACTGTTCTTGGGGTTCATACCCAGTTTCTCCCTCTCAGAATCCGTCCTCCTGGACTGTTGGTTGTCTGCTATTCCCAGTGCAAGGTCTGGGGTTGCAGGGAGAAATGAGGTACAGGCTGAAGGGCCCTCCTCGCCAGGTCCCTTCTGGGAGACATTTAGTCACCACATTGTACTCAGGAGCCTGGGTCAGGGGCACCAGGACGGCTGGGTAAGACCTGAACGTTCCATCCTCGGATGCTATGACAACTGCACAAGCCGTTTGCCAGTTTGCCATCCTGGATCCTTGGACGGGTTGCCTTGGCGCCCGTACACACAGCCTTCCACCCCCTCACTCCCGACCAGCATCGCCTGACGCGCGTCTGACACCTCCTGCCCCTCCGCCTGGCTCTAGACAGCTGAAGCGGGCTGGGGGTTGTGTGGCACGTCCCGCCTTCCCGAGTGCTTGTTCTCCTCAGTCCCGTTTTACAAAGGAAGACCCTAAGGCTCAGAGTGGCCAAGTCACACACCCCAGGCAACACAGCCGAGATACCACACCCTCTGCAGTTGGCACCGTCTTCGAATGTCCATTTAGCAGGTGCCTGATTATCCACAGCACCTTGCTAGGCACTGGGCAAGAATTGCGGGGCTATGGCTGCTGCTGGCCTGGGTGGGCGCCCAGGTGTAGCTGGTGCACAGGTGTAGCCCCAGCAGCAGGCCCATCCCGTGCAGCCAGACGGTGATTCCCCACGGGTGACGGCGCCATGGCTGTCGGGAGGGAGACAGTGGTCCAACAACTGTTTCCAGACAGGGCAGAGCCAGGGAAGGCCTTTGCTCTTCCCTGGGCAGTCGAGGGAGGCTTCCTGGAGATGGCTGACTGTTGTTGTTGTTTTTTTTTTAAGATTTTATGTATTTATTTTTAGAGAGAGGGGAGGGAGAGAGGTAGAGAGCTAGAGAAACATCAATATTCGAGAGAAACGTCCATCAGCTGCCTCTCACACGCCTCCAACAGGGGACCTGGTCTGCAACCCAAACATGTACCCCGACCTGGAATCAAACTGGTGACCTTTCCATTTGCAGGATGACACAACACCCGCTGAGCCACACCAGGCGGGGCAGTGGCTGACCCTTCCGGGAATCTGCAAGACTAAAGCACTCTGATAAGACGCGTCTGATGCCCAAGGGCAGCTTCCCCATCTTTGGAGAAACCCCTGGGGGTGAGAGGGTGCCAGGGAGCCACCCCCACCGTAGAGGGGCACCCGCTGGCCCAAGTGACGGGGTCACCTGGCTCATGATAAGTAGCGTAAGGGGTTTCCCTTGCCATTGCTCTTGTCTGGCTGAGGAAGCGGAGCTGTGCCCCTGAGCTAGACACGCATGGGCTGCCGAAGACAAAAGCCAGCGCCCTGTGTCAAGGGTGTCAGACTCATTTTCACCGGAGGCCGCATCAGCCTCACAGTTGCCTTCAAAGGGCCAAATGTAACTTTAGGACCGTACAAGTGTAACTGCTCCTTCACAGTTCAGTGAGAGCCCGGTGCTGCCACCGGATAGAAACAAGGTGGAGGGCCGGATTCAGCCCGCAGGCCCTGTGTTTGCCGCCTGTGCCCTGTGTCCTCATCCGAAACTTGCCCTGGAGCTCCCAGGGGCTGAGTCCCATGCCCAAACCCACCCCCGCCTGCCCTGCTCTCCCCCCAGGTAATGAAGTGCATCATTGAGGTCATCTCCGACACGCTCTCCAAGCCCGGCCCCGTGCCCGTGAGCCAGGAGTGTTTGGAGACGCTCCGAGGAGGTAGGGGCCAGACCGGCGGGGTGCGGGCGGGGCTGCTGCCTGCCGGGCCGGGGGGCTAGGACAGGGTGGGTGGCTTGTGATGGAATTCAGCGATCTAATGCAACAGGCACCGACCGGCCTTGTGTGTGCCAGTCTGAGTGGGGCAGGGAAAGGGAGGTACCCTGGAGCTTACCGGCTCGCAGAGGGGCAAAAATGAGCTCAGATCGTTAGGATTCTGGGCAGAATGTACCCAGGGCTGCCAGGGAGTGTGAGCCCCCTGTGGACAAGGATTCGGGGTGCCCCAGTCCCAGTGCCGGCCACACCTGCGGCTGCGTGATGCATGAAGGACCACCCATGATGGGCACGAGGAGGACTCGCCCTTGGCTAGAGCCGTCGTGAGCACTGGGGTTGGGGTTAAGAGAAAAGTGGGAAACCGACAGGGGGCAAGAGGGAGAAAGGGAATCCCAGAGGATCGGGCAGCCCAAGCGAAGGCGCGGAGACGGGCAGGCGGGTCGTGCTGGAGGACGCCCCTGCCTCCCCGCAGGGGGGCTGCTGTCCCTCGGCCGAGGTCCGCGTGCTGGGACAGGGGTTGCCCTTGCTGTCACAGTAGAAAACGGCCTCCTGTCGCCTCGGAAACCAGGTCATTTCAAAAGTGTTATCTCAAGCCGTGGCCTTGCTGCCACCACCCAGGCTCTGAGCCCCCAGGATCCCGCCCTTGTGCTCAGCGGAAACTGCTGACGGCCGCGTCTCTCTCGGCTGTTCTCTGGCCATGGCCCATGACAACTCCCCCTCCTTGCAGATGAGCGGATCCTCTCAATCCTGCGACATCAGAATTTGCTGAAAGTGCTCCAAGACTTCGCTCTCCAAGGTATTTCCAGCCACTGCACCTGCATCTGGGCACATTCCAGGGACGGAGAGTTGGGGAATCAGGGTAACTGACCCGCAGTTACCTGCTTTCGACTAGAGAGGGGGACGGCGGGGTCCTCCACGTCCCCGGTCCAGCCTGCCATCGATGTAGTTCAAGAGATCAAGGCCCAGGGAGGTCGAGGGTCTCGTCCAAGGTCACGCAGTGAGTCAGGGCCTCGCTGGGGCCTGAGGCAGCTCTCCAATTACCCGCAGCCCCGAGTTCAGCCGCTGCAGCAAGGTCGCTTTCTTGATTGGGTGGCAGAAAGGGTCTGTTTCCTCTGGGCAGCCTCCCTTGCCCACAACCGCTGTGCCGGGCTCCTCTGGCCATTCCAGAAACTCCCACCGTGGGGGCAAGTCATCGCCAGCTGCAGAGGGCAAGGAGCTCTCATCAGGAACAGGCCCAAGTGGGGAGAGTCCCAGGCCGGGACAGTCCCAGGCGGCGGCCGCAGCAGCAGCCTCAGGCTGACGCAGGGGGAGGGGTCTCTGGATCATAGCAGCTGATGACAGCCCGGGGCTTGGACGCAGGCATGGGACTGGCTTTCTCCCAGGGGCCTGCACTTATGAGGTCTGGGGTAAGCAGCATTTGCCTGAATCAAGAGGTCCCAGGAGGTAGCGGCCGCTGTCACGTGAACTCCTGCTGCGGGGCCCCCCAGCTACCAGGCGGGTCCTGAGAGGCCCCCAGTCTCTGCTTCTGCCCTGGGACCCTCTGCTCCATCTGAGTCTTTGTTGCTCTGTGGGGCAGCAGGCAGGGCTTGTTCTCATTTCCGAGGTGAGGAACTGAGCCTGGAGGTGACGTGGCCACCGATGGGCCCCAGCTCGGGGGCCGGGGGGGGGGGCCGGGACCACAGCAGCCAGCCCTTCCCCGCTCCTTGAGCTCTCGCCAGGCACGCCTGGAACCTGACACACGAGGAAACGGAGGGGCCTTCCCTTCAGGAGACAAACGTGCCGGCTCAGACCAAAGGGGACTTTCTCCTCCTTTTCTCACACCAGGTGCCAAGGAGAGGGCGCAGCAGCAGGAGAAACACAGCAGCTTTGAGGAGGAGCTCTCAGAGGTTCTTGAGCAGCAGAGCGACCAGGACGGGCTGAAGGGTGCGTGCTGGCCCGCCTGGCCGGGGCCGGAGGAGAGAGGGAGGGGATGCCAACAGTCGCTGGTGTAGATGGAGGCCTGCTGGGAGGCAGGAGTTCCTCCCTGACACCCTGTCATGTGGCTGTTACTCCCTCCCATCTACAAGTGAGGCCCAGAGAGGGCCAGCCCCTGGTCCAAGGCATCACTGGAGATGCGGCTCTGGGTCTGCCTCGCTCCCAAGCCCTCCTTCCGTCCCCTCTGCTCACCCCAGAGCGCAGGGAGTGTCTGGCCTGGCTTTTCCCGCAGGGCTCCTGCCCCGGGCACCCGCCCTCCCCGGGCCGGGTGGTCCCTCGGCCTGGCCAAGTTGCAGGAGGGTCCCAGAGGAGCAGGCACAAAACACTAGACAAACTGGATCATCTTTCTCGAAGCCAGAGAGGATTTAGGGGTCAAAGAGATCATGGCTCAGGTCAAGGGGATTCTGTGACTCATCCTCCAACATGCAAATACCCCCAAAGCACCCCGCAGGCCCTGCCCTTTGCACTGGAAGGTGGGTGAAGAAGGCAAGTCTGCAGGAGCCGGGGTCTCGGTGGTCTTCTGTCCGGAGGCCTGCCTGCTGGTGTGGCCCGGGGGCGCTCACATGGGCCGGGGCGGTCTCCCCAGGGGTAGCTGGGGCAGGGCGTGGGCTCCCACGTGCTGGTTCCATGGCAATGAGTGTCTGCCAGGAGCGTGACCGAGGATGTCCGCCAGGGGCCACGGGAGCGGGTGCAGTGAGTGTGCATGCGTGTTCGTGTGCACAACTGGAAGCTTCACCAAGGGAAGCGGCCAGTGTCCGTGCAAAGAGCACCCTGTGCTCGGCATTTGGCAGCTTGGGCCCAGGGCTCAGGCCAGCGGCCCACAGACTTCACGGGCACGGACAGGCCTCTGCACCTTCCTCGGGGTCGGTCTGAGCTTCTGGGAGCGGACGGCGGCACTGTCGGCGGGAGCCCTGGGGTCGCGTGGTGGACGCACGCTGCTCTGCGAGACCGTAGCCATTCCGGCGCTGGGAGGGGCTTCTGCTAGTTCACAGGCTATCTCCAAACAGCCCCAAGAAAACACCTTTTAATGAAAACTCCAAATATTGGGGAACCGAGAACTTTTCCGGGATGCTCAAGACCGAGAAGCCCCACTCGGAGGGGAAAAGGGAATCACAGTACTGGCGCCCCTCACACAGGGAGGTTGGGGGGCCCCTCCCCCAAGATCACACAGTAGTTCAGCTGATGTTCTAATTTTCTACTCAGGACTCTATCTTCTGGGGACATTTTAAAGGCCTTTTTTAAAAAAAAAAAATCGCCCTTTTTCTTTAAGAGGTGGACTTACAAAGAAACACAACCCATTTGTGCCCAGGTCAAACCGAGATGTGGAGAGGGGAGCTCTGGTCCTTAGGTCTGAACTTGGGCTCTGGGGAGACCGAGTGCAGCCTGGTCCTCGGGGCCTGACTCGGCTCCGTTGTCTCTGCAGAGGGGGCGGACGAGATGCCCTCCAAGGAGTACTCGGAGGAAAAGTTGGAGTCCTCAGAGGGAACGATGGACTCGAGCGAGGTGGAGAGGAATGGCGGAGACGAGGACGGAGCCGGGCCCCAGGCCTCCCCGGAGCCCAGGCAGGGGTCCACGGTTGAGGAGGACGACCAAACCCCAGGGGAGGAGGAGGAGGCTGCCAACACCCACCCCCCGGCCAGCCCCCCCAGCCAGAAACACCCAGGCCTTGAGGCCGAGGGGGACAGCGAGGGCCCCTCCCAGGGTCCAGTGGACAGAGAAAAGGGCTGGGGTGCAGAGCAAGGGCAGCAGGCAAAGAGAGAGGAGGAGGAGGAGGAGGACCCAGAGGCTGGTGAGAAGGTCGTCTCTGAAGACGAAGGCCCCACCGCAGCGTCCGACCCCCACCCCAGCCTCGGCTACAAGGCGGCCCCGCGGGGCGAGAGTACGTATGCCGTCTGAGACCTCAGCGATGTGTAGGGGAGGGGGCGAGAGGGAGGGGGGCCGCACTCATAATCTCATTCCACCTGCACGACCACCCCGACGGCAGGTACAATCTCCACTTTCCCGATGGAAACTAAGACTCAGAGAGGTTAAGTAATTTGCCCAAGGTTACACAGCTAAGTTGTAGTAAAATCGGAGATTCTAACTCAGGTTTGTCTGACTCCAAAACCGTGCATCTCCACTCTTCCACAGAGATCCCCACCCCCAACCCACCCAGGAGGCCACAGGGGCTCTGCAGGCTGGGTGGGTAGGCTTTGGGAACAGAGGGACAGCATGACAGGGGGGACCAGGCTCCTCTGGGGACCGTTGTCGGCTTCAGCCGGGTTCGGGAAAGACCCCAGCTTCTCCCTGGGGCCTCGTCAAGGTCCTTCCTCCCTGAGTAGCCAGGCGCCCCCTGAGTCGAGGGCTGCTGGACGGAAAGAACTAAAGGAAGAGGCAGGCTCCCACCAGGCCCCGCCCCCCCCCCCCCCCCGGATGCTGAGAGGGTCTTGCAAAGCATGGGGGCAAGATGGCTTTTCCCTCCAAGTAGAATCTTGAGGCGAGGCTGAGCCGGCCCTGCCTGTGGGTCCCCCAGGGAGTGGCCGGGCTGGGGAAGGTGGTGACCCCGCCCTCATCTCCTGCTCTTGTCCCGCAGCTGCTCCAGGTCCCTCGGAGGCTCTGGCTGTGGACAGAGGCGGGAAGACTGGGGCTGGGGAAGCTCAGAAGGGGGAGCAGGAACAGTCCTTGCAGGAGGAGGAGGAGGAGACAGCAGGGGCCCTCCTGGGCCCCTTCCGGGGCGGGAAGAGCAGGGAGCAGCCTCAGCAGCAGCAGCAGGAGCAGGAGCAGGAGGAGCAGCTCTCCAAGGAGTGGGAGGAAGCCAAGCGGTGGAGCAAGATGGACCAGCTGGCCAGGGAGCTGACGGCTGAGAAGCGGCTGGTGGGGGAGGCCGTGGAGGACGACGACCCGGACCGCTCCATGCAGCTCTCCTACCAGGCCCGGGGCTATGGCTTCAGGGGCCCCAGGCTGCGAGGCTGGAGGCCGGACCCCCAGGAGGACACGGTGGAGGCGGGCCCGCCCCTCCGGGGGCACCGCTACCCGGAGGAGAAGAAGGAGGAGGAAGGCAGCGCCAACCGCAGGCCAGAGGTTGGTACAGGCCGAAGCCAGCCCCAGGCCAGGGCCCTCGGGTGTGGGCCCGGCTGAGGGGCAGGGGCCCCCAGGTGTGCGTGTGGGCTCCACGAGGGGACGCGGTCCCCTGGGAGTCTGGGCTGGAGAGGGGCTCGCACAGGGAGCTCCTGCAGACCCGGCAGAGACCTGGGAAGGGGCAGGAGAGAGGGCATGTCAGGCGGGAAGGCGGTGACCCTGGCTCGCAGCGGGCACCCGGCGAGGCCGGTGGGCAGGCAGGCAGCAGAGCTGGAGTGTTCGGATCAGCACGTGGGGGCGGGAGAGGCAGTAAGTCGAGCTGGTCTCCGGAGACGCTGCGTGGCAACTGTCCTGAGGACAACGGAGCCTCTGCAGGCTGGGGGGCAGGGCCAGGGAGTGACGGTGGGTGGAGCTTGGAAAGTGGAGGACCTGAGGGGACCGGCCTGAGGAGGGCCACGTGCTGCCCAGGGGATCCAAGGCCAGGGCACGATGGGGACCCAGAGCTGGGAGGGCATGAGAGGACAGGGCACTAAAGGGACAGCTGGTATCCTGGGAAGAGCCTGCGGGTGGTCCAGCCAGCCCTCACCCCCGCCAGACTCCACATAGCCCAGGCACACCCTTCTCTCCCAGGTTGGGGCCCTGCCTCCCACCCTGAATAGCAGAGGGGGAGGGGGAGGGCCAGTTGACCTTCCGCCTGGTGGTGAGTGAGGGAAGCATGTGGGTGCCCGAAAACCTGGGTTCTGCCTCCTCCTGCTCTGGGACCTTGGGCAGGTCACTCTCCTCCGAACCTCATCGGTCACCACATTGTCATGACCAGGCCACACGAGAGCTCTGAAACCCAGCCGTGCCCAGGGCTGCGTGAGCAGCTCAGTGGGCCAGAGCGATGCAGCCCCACAGCAGGGGGGCAGGGGAGCCGGGGCCCCTGGCAGGCTGGCCACACAGCCGTGGGGCTGCAGGGGGAGGGGCAGGGGTCAGCGGTTCAAGCCTCAGGGCCCAGGTGGGAATCAGGACCTGCCTTATGGGGGCTGGGACCTGCGCACCCAGGGGAGGACTCGGCCGCTCCCTCAGGTCTCCGACCCTCTCTCTGGGCCTGGCAGCCCAAGAGGAAGAAGGCACCTGACTGTGTCCCCAGGAGACCGAGGGGATGGGCTACAGGCAATAACAGCTTGTCCCCCCGCCCCTTTGGACCCAGGACGAGGCTGGGCACCTTTGAGCAGCCCCTGCCCCACCCCCACAAGGGCCCCGAGGGCCTGCCAGCTCACTTCTCCACGGGCAGAGGGGGCCCTGCGCTGCAGGGAGCAGCAGCGGGGACCATGCCGCCCAGGCCAAGGGTCTTCTTAGAAATGGCCCCAGCATCGCAGAACTCATACCCCACGGCCTACTCCAAGACAGGGGGCTCTGGGGCCGTTTCCATAGCAACCGAGTGGGTCCCTGGTAGGGTTGTCTGTGCTGTCCCAGTGCGGGGTGGGGGAGGGTACCCTCTGTAGTCTGGCATCCAGCAGGGACCCCAAGAAGACCATCCCTCCTGGGTCAAGGCCAGAGGTGGCCTCCCCTGACTCCTGCTCTGAGTTCGAGGGCCTGGAAGCTTCCCAAAGGAGGGGCACCCAGCCGGGCTCACAGAATGTCCCTTGAACCAGCCGGTCACCAGAGCTCAGGGCACCTGACTGGGGCAGGTTGACCAGGGACGGCTCGCACCTGTGTCCCGGGCCCATGGCCGCTCAGGTCAGGAGGCCTGGCCTCACGCCAGGAGCCACCGCCATAGTCTAAGCCTCGCGTGGGGGACGGAAGGAGCCCTGGACCAGAGGCTTTGTTTCCCACGGCCCCCTGGAGCCATTCAGGAGGCAGCAGGCCTGAATTCAGGGGCCACCAGGACGGGGTGGGGTCAGGGCCCGCTTCCCCACGTCCTGTGCACAGCACTCCTCAGAGCAGCCCTGTGGGGTGGCATCCCTGTCCCCGTGGTACACAGAGGCCCCTGAGGCTCAGAGAGGAATAGCCACGTGTCCAAGGCCACACAGCTAGCCAGCAGCACAGCCCATCTGGCTGACGGCACACTCCGCCATGCTGGCGTAGTCCCTGTATGACCCCCGGTCTTCTCTCCTAGGACCAGGAGCTGGAGAGCCTGTCGGCCATCGAGGCAGAGCTGGAGAAGGTGGCCCACCAGCTGCAGGCGCTGCGGCGGGGGTGAGGTGCTGGCCGGCGGCCCCGGCCAGGGCCCCAAGGTTCCCTGTGGTCCTCCTGGCTCTGCTGTCCCCTTTACAGGGCCTGGCCGGCCGCCCTGTGCGCTGCTTCCGGTAGGGAGGTGGCCCCAGCCCGCCCTTGCCCAGGCCACCCCGCTGCCCCCATTGTCCTTTCCTCCCACTCTGGACCCCAGTGCACCCCTCTGCGGGGCGGACCCCTGCAACTTTAAACAAGGACCCTCTCTGTGAACACAGGAAGCTTTCTAGAAGTTTCCTTTCCACATCAGAGCCATTGGGCACAACTGCAATAACTCCCGACCTGTCAGTGAAAGCTGAGGACCCCCGACTGTAAATCTTCTGTGCACACTTTATCGAAGGAAAAATAAATCTTCTCTGGGCTCTCCTGTTTCTCTGAACGTCCCCCCCTTGACTCAGAGTGCAGCGGGATGGATTGGATTCTGGCAACGGGACAAGAGGAGGCTCGGTGTGCCCGGGGTGACTCTTTTCCGGACAACTTCCCGGCCGTGAGGTCTTGGGCAAGGGACTTGGCACCTCTGAGCACCAGTTGTCGCGTCTTCTGTGCAAGAGGGGGCTGACATCTGCCTCCAAGTGCGCAGGGATTATTAAGTAACACATGCCAAGGGCCCCCGGTTCCTCCCTGTCCCCGGTGTCCCAGCCACACGCGAGCTGGGCCACTCACAGGCAGGTCGGTTTGGGAAACAGCCTCCACTCTCCGTGGTGCTGGGGAGAGGCCCTGGCAGCCCCGGGGGAGCGCCCGCTGCCAAGGCCGTAGGGCCCCTGGGTGTGAGTCTGCTGCCCCCTCTGACTCGGCACGTGCACAGGACTCGGGGGCGTCTGAAGGTCTCGCACATTTGACGGTTCACGGGAGGGTGGCAGGTCTCGGTCTCTGCGGGTTTACACGACTGAGGCTGACAAGGAGAAATGACTCACTGACGTCACGGGCAGGGCGACACCCCAAACATGGAGCTGTGGGGACAGCGGGGCTGCACATCAGAATGGGCTGGGCTGGTGCGCCTGGGTCCGCCGAATACAGGGCCACTCAGCTGTTCAGCAAACATTTGTGAGTGGCTGCTTTGGGCCCGGCAGACCTGGGCACACAGGTACACAGGACAAGCCCTGACTTCAAGAAGCCACTGCCCAGACACGTGGGGTTTGACATCAGACGGGAGCTGGTACCCCCTGCCCAGATGGGGAGCCTGGCAGGTGTTCCTGGCTCTCTCACAGCCTCAGTTCCCTCCGCTGTGAAGTGGGGTTAACACTCACTGTCTCCTCGCCAGATCGTGGTGGGGATTCGTGAGGCCCAGACAGGCCAGAGCAGAAAACTGTTATGATGACAATGCAAGTCATTTGAGGGGGTCTTGGCTGATGCCTGCTGCTGCTGATGCCCGTCCTCTCCAGCACAGGGGACACTTTCCGAGGAGCTCACACTTTAGGTGTTTATTTCTTCACGTTTCAAGGAGACAGGCTTGCCCCCGTCCCCAACAGTGACAGAAACAGGCATGACACCATTTTCCACTGGTCAGTCAGGTACCAAACATTCACTGCCAAGTCTAGTGAGCCAGTGGGTCACCTTGTCCTGGAAACAACCCATCCCTCAGATGGCCACCTGTGCTGCCATAATCCCAACCCCGTGGAAGACATGCAGCCAGTTCAAAGGAGCCAGCGCATCTGATTACTCAACAGAGACATTCCAGACCAGCAGGGAGTGGCGTGGAATTTTCAAGGTGATGAAAAGCAAGGACCTACAGCCAAGGCTACTTTACCCAGCAAGGCTATCACTGAAAATTGAAGGAGAAATAAGGAGCTTCCCAGACAAGAAAAAGCTAAAGGATTTTGCTAACACCAAAACCGCAGTGCAGTTAACAGCACTGCAACAGATGTTAAGGGCTTACTTTAAGAAGAGAAAGAAATTTAAAAAAAAAAAAAAAAGAGGAAAACAGTCTAACAATAAAACGGCATTACATACGTATCTGTCAATAATCACCTACGATGTAAATGGCTTAAATGCTCCAACAGAAAGACAGAGGGTAGCTCAATGGCCGAGAAAACAAGACCCATATATACGCTGCCTCCAAGAGACCCATCTCAGATCAGAAGATACACACAGACCAAAAGTAAAGGGTTGGGAAAAGGTATTTCATACAAATGGAAAGGAAAAAAAGCTGGGGTAACAGTACTTATAGCTGACAAAATAGACTTTAAAGCCAAGGCCACAGTGAGAGACAAAGAAGGACACTCCGTAATGATAAAGGGAACCATCCAACAGGAGGACAAAACCTTAGTAAACGTTTGTGCACCCAACACAGGAGCACCCAAATATGTAAAGCAAACCTTGAAGGACACAAAGGGAGAGACCGACACAAACACAGTCACAGTTGGGGATGTTAACACCCCACTGACTTCCATGGACAGATCTTCCAGGCAGAAAATCAACAAGGAGACAGTGGCCTTAAACGACACACTAGATCAAATGGATTTAGTTGATATCTGCAGAGCATTTCACGTCAAACCAGCAGAATATACATACTTTTCAAGTGCACGTGGAATGTTGTCTAGCATAGACTACAGGTTGGGACACAAAACAAGTCTCAGAAAATTTAAGAAGACAGAAATCATATCAAGCATCTTCTCTGACCACAACACTATGAAACTAGAAATCAATCACAAGAACAACAATGAAAAATACACAAAGATGTGGAAGCTAAATAACATATTAAACAATGATTGGGTCAACAAAATCAAGGAAGAAATCAAAAGATACCTTTAAGGCTCTATTTCATTTGTCTGGAAACAAATGAAAATGAGGACACAACAATCTCAAATCTGTGGGACACTAGCAAAGCAGTCCAAAGAGGGAAATTCATAGCATTCCAGGCCTATCTCAAACAAACAAGAAAAAGCTCAAATGAACAATCTAACTTCACACTTAAAGAACTTGAAAAAGAACAACAAAGTCCAAAGTGAGTGGAAGGGAGGAAATAATAAAGATCACAGCAGATACAAATGAAATAGAGCCTTAAAAATGATATAAAAGATCAATGAATCCAAGAGCTGGTTCTTTGAGAAGATAAACAAGATTGACCAGACTCATTAGGAGAAAAAAAGAACCCAAATAAATAAAATACACGAGGAAAGAGGAGAAATAACAACTGACACCAAAGAAATACAAAGGACTGCAAGAAAATATTATGAACAACTCTATGCCAACAAACTGGACAACCTGGATGAAATGAATAAACTCCTAGAAACATAAAATCTTCCAAAAATAAATCAGGAAGAATCAGAGAATCTGAATAGACAGGTTACACATAATGGAACTGAAGCAGTGATCAAAAACCTCCCAACAAACAAAAAGTCTTGGACCAGGTGCCTTCACAGGTGAATTTTACAAACATTCTGAGAAATACCACGCCCTCCTTCTCAAACTGTTTCCTTAAACTCAAGAGGAGGGAAGGCTCCCCAACTCACTTTATGAGGCCAGCATTATCCTAATTCCAAAACCAGATAAAGACATTACAAAGAAAGAACATTATAGGCCGATATTCCTGATGAACACAGATGCTAAAATCTTCAACAAAATATTAGCAAACTGAATACAGCAATACATCAAAAAGATCATACGCCATGATCAAGTGAGATTCATTCCAGGAATGCAAAGTTGGTACAGCATTTGTAAACCAATAAATGTAATTAGTTCACCACATAAACAAAATGAAGGACAAATACCATATGATTATATCAATAGATACAGAAAAAGCTTTTGATAAAACCCAGCACCCACTTATGATCAAAACTCTCAACAAAGTGGAACTAGGAGGAACATACCTGAACATAATAAAGGTCATATATGACAAACCCACCAGCAGCATCATATTCAACAGGCAAAAAAAAAATAACTGCAAGCATTGCCCTTAAGATCAGGAACAAGACAGGAATGTCCACTTTCACCTCTCCTATTTAACAGACTACTGGAAGTCCTAGCCACAGCAATCAGACAAGAAGAAATAAAAGGCATTTGAATTGGAAAGGAAGAACTAAAACTGTCTTTATTTTCAGATGGCATGATGCTGTACATGGGGAACCCCAAAGATTCCACCAAGAAACTACCTGAACTGATAAATGAATTCAATAAAGTAGCAGGATACTAAATTAATATTCAGAAATCAGTTGCATTTTTGTATGCCCATAATGAACTAACAGACAGGGAGATTAAGAAAACAATCCCGTTCACAATTGCTTCAAAAATAATAAAATACCTAGGCATGAACCTAACCAAGGATGTAAAACACCTGTACTCAGAAAATTATAAACAATGAAGAAAGAAACTGAAGAAGACACAAGTAAGTGGAAGCACATACTGTGTTCATGGATAGGGGGAATTAACAACACTGAAATGTCCATACAACCCAAAGCAATCTACAGATTCAATGCAATTCCTGTCAAGATTTCAATGATGTATTTCATAGAACTAGAACTAATATTGCAAAAATTCATATGGAACAAAAGGCCCTGCATAGCAACAGTGATCCTGGGAAAGAAGAACAAAGCTGGAGGAACCACGCTACCTAATGTCAAACTATCCTACAAGGCCACAGTGACCAACACAGCCTGGTGCTGGCATAAGAACACACGTCAATCAATGGAACAGAACAGAGAGCCCAGAAATAAGCCCCCACCTTTATAGTCAATTAATATTCGACAGAGGAAGCAAGCGCATACAATGGGCTATAATTGTTTATTCAGTAAGTGGTGTTGAGAAAATTGGACAGGTACATGCAGAAAAATGAAACTAGACCACATTCTTACACAACACACGAGAATAAATTCAAAATGGATCAAAGACTTAACTGTTAGACCCGAAACCACAAAAATCCTAGAAGAAAACATAGGCAGATATTGCTCAGAGAAATTTTTTATCAGATGCATCTCCCCAGGCAAGGGAAACAGAAGAAAAAATAAACAAATGGGACTACATCAAACTAACAAGCGTTTGCACAGCAAAGGAAAACATCAACAAAATGAAAAGGCAACCCACAGAGTCGGAGAACATATTCACTGATACCCCTGATGAGGGGTTAATATCCAAAATATATAAAGTACTTACAAAACTCAACACCATCAAAACAAACAACACAATTAAAAAATGGGCAAAGGACCTGAACAGACACTTCTCCAAAGAGGACATACAGATGGCCAACAGACACATGAAAAGGTGTTCAATGTCACTAATCATCAGAAGAATACAAATTAAAACCACAGTGAGATACCATCTCACACGCGTCAGAATGGCTGTCATTAATACATCAACAAACAACAAGTGCTGGCGAGGATGTGGAGAAAGGGGGACGCTTTTGCTCTGTTGGTAGGAATGCAGACTGGTGCAGCCACTGTGGAAAACAATGTGGAGGTACCTCAAACAATTAAAAATGGGTCTGCCTTTTTACCCAGCGACCCCACTTCTGGGAATATATCCAAAGGAACCCCAAACACTAATTCAGAAGAGCATAATCACCCCTGTGTTCATTGCAGTGTTATTTACAGTAGCCAAGAGATAAAAGCAGCCCAAGTGTCCATCAGTAGGAGAGTGGATAAAACAACCATGGTACATTTACACAATGGAATTCTACTTGGCTGTAAAAAAGAAGAAAATTTTACCCTTTGCATCAGCATGGATGGACCTGGAGAGCATTATGCTGAGTGAAATAAGACAGTCAGAGAAAGACAAATACCATAGGATTCCACTCACATGTGGAATCTAATGAGCAAACTGAACTAACAAGCAACACAGAGATAGACTCATAGATGGAGAACAGATGATGGCTATCGTTGGGGGGAGTTAGGGGTGGACGGACTGAGCAAAAACAAAAAAGGACCCATGGACACGGACAGCAGCGTGGTGACTGCTGGGCAGCAGAGAATAGAAGGGGACTAAATGGTAATGGACAAAAACACAGTCAGATGAAATTAAAAAAGAGCCAGTGGTCAGAGGTTCTTGGTTTGTACAGGAGCGGTGCTTTCCTAGGTAGTATATTCAGATAAGCATGTACACGCGTGTACACAGGTCAAGTCTGGTCGGCGCTGCCTGCGAGCGGGGCGGCAGCACCTTTCACGAAGCCCAGGCGTCGGCACGACAACCGGAACCGCCGAAGGGGAGGGAAAGTACTGTGCACGCAGCCTTCTGCGAGCGAGCAAGCTTCAGGGGGCCTGACCCCTGGAAGAGGTCAGGCTGTGGCCAAGGGACACTCCCTCCAAGCCAGCAGGTCATGGACAACTCTGGAGGTAGAGTGAAAATGCCACCATTCCTGGAAGAAGCCCCCGCTGGTCTGGTGGGGCCCAGCGGTCAGGGCCAGGGCTCAGGTTGATCTGAGGGTCAGCTCTTGTGTCAACAGCATGTGTGCTCACACACACACACACACACACACACACACATTCGGGGGCGTTTCAGAATCTTAATGGCAATGCTGTGCAGAGAAGGGGCACAGGCAGGGGCCTGTAGTCATCGGGGGGAGGACCCACGTGAGAACTGCCTGCCTGAAGGCCCCGCCATCTTAGACTCAGACCTGGGGTGTGGCCACGTGACCCGGGAGGGAGACGCCGGGATCTCCGGTCAAGGACCGATGCCCTTCTCTGCCCGGTGGCGCTGCAGAGCAGGGGGCAGGGCTCCCGCAGGGCAGTCCGCTCTCAGCCCAAGGCCTCTGCAGCTCCGGGCCCTTGAGCCGTGACCCCGGCTGGGATCTCACTGGGCCGAGGATCAGTTGCTAGGGGACGGAGGAGAGAGCAGATGCAAGCCCCAGGGACACGAGTGAAGCCACGCAGTGGCTCTCGGGGCAGCGGCCAGGGGGCGTGCCAGAGCTCAGGGCCAGGCTCCCTGGCTAGGACAAGGACAGGTGACAGCTGCTTTTCCCAGGTGGCCTGAGAACTGCGGCTTGCTGCCAGGGTTCTTCCACCATCCACAGAGCCCGGTCCTCTGGGGAAAGAGGTTCTCTCCTTCAACGACAGGATCCAAGACGCAGGCAGGTCCACCACAAGGACCCCCCGCTGACCCCTCAGGGACATGCGCAGGGTCGGCCTTGCCCAGCCCGCCCCGCCCCGTGCTGCAAACCCGGATACCCCGTGACACCAACGGCAAGGACCGCCCCCTCCCCCAACCCCACCCAGGTGCGGATGGCCAGCCAGCGCCTGCACCCGGTGGGAGCTGTCGTGGAACCACATCCTTATGTTTCATCCACAAGCAGAACTCCGCCCGGGGCCTCTGCTCCAGGCAACCCAGGCCGGGGACCTGGCACGTGACCCTCTGAACCTACCCAAGGCCCCAGCCAAAGTGTGGCCCTGCCGATCACCACCGGATGCTGCAGGGCCAGAAGCCAACGTGCCCACCAACTGGTGGAGGCCAGTGACAATGAGGCCTAAGGGGAAGCCACTCTGGATTGTGTCAGCGTGCACCTGGGTGGCATGGGGGTGGGGGTGTGGTTGTCACCACTGCTCAGTCCGGTCCCCAAACCACTACGGTCCCCACCACTTCGTTCCCAATTCCCTTCAGAGATGGCCACTGTTTGCTGCATGGGGAAGTTGGGGGGGGGGGGAACCTGCATACGCCTGGCAGCTCCCCTGCCTTTACAAAGCTGAACCACCCCCCCAGTTTCCACTCTCGGAAAAATCGATCACGGTGTTCGGGCTGAGGCCACGTCACGGGAAAAGTGACTTGCTCTCTAGGGCCCGGATGCTAACAAGAGTAACACCGAAGGTGACACAGACTATACAGGAACATGACACCGCCAGGGGTCCCGGCCTGGCGCCAGGGGGCCCACCGCATTCCCCACCTGCTCGAGGCAAACTGGGATTGGTGTTTTATTCGAAAAGGCAAAGCCACTTTATTAGAAGACTGGGAGAGTGACACACTTTCAGAAACGTTGTGTAAACACAGGTGGACCGCAGTTTGATTTCAGTAGTTTATTTCGGAGACAAGCAGTGCAAGAGGCCGGCCACGCTTCCCCGCTTCCCCGGGGCTCGGGGTACGCCGGGGAAAGGCGACATTCAGACATTACAGTCGGGGTTCCACACCGGAGTCGTGAACAAGTGGGCCCTCAGTGTCCGGGTCGGCCGGGCAGTCCTGGTGGCAGCCGCGCCTCACCCCAAGCCCGAATGCAGCCACCTCACTCCCCTGGAGCCCGGCCCCAATGCCCCTCCAGGTGTCTGGCTCAGCGGCCTCTCGGGGCCGGCCTCCCGGGGCCATGAAGCCTTTCCCTCCGTGTGGAAGTCCACGGGCACCTAAGACGCCAGGGCACGCTCGGGGCCCTAGACGCGGGCCCCTGAGCTCACACTGTCTGTCCCAGGACGGCAGGGTCCCGCACTGGCCCTTCTGAGGAAGGGCCTCCGGCCTGCCTGGACCGCAGCTACGACAGCCAGCTGGTGCTCTGTCTGCTGCCACCACGGGCTGGGGGGACTCTGCGTGGGCGGGGGCACCGTGCTCTCTCACCCCGGGGGCTGCCCTCCCCCACCCCTGGCTGGCTCAGTGCTCGGGGCTCGCAGTGAGTACGGGAAGGGATGCCAGGCCCGCCGGGCAAGGGTGGGGACAGGCAGGCTGCACGGCAGGGGCGGGGCGTCAGGCCCGCCCTTCGGCGCTCTGGTCTCGACCGAGGACACGGAGGCCTGGCCACTCTCGGAACGGCCTGCCCACGGCCACGGCACAAACCCGGGGCACGGGCGGGATCAGCCCGGGGGCCCCCAGCCAGGCAGCCCTCCCCCCAGGTGCCGACGAGCCGCGGTGTGCTTGGTCACAGGAGGAGGCTCTCTCTCTCTCTCGGGGCTGCGTGGGGTGCGCGGACGCCAGGGAGCTGGGCTGGACGTGGGGAGAGGGCCCGGGCCTCCCTGGGAAGCTTCCTTCCCCTTCCCTTCTTGGGAGGGACCAGGTGGCAGCAGCCCAGACCCCCCGCATGGGACCCCCCAAGGAAAGGGCGGCCGAGGCCTCTCCAGCCAGGCCCGCTCCTCCCACAGCCGGGGAGGAGGGCAGCAGAGGGGGCGCCCGCGCAGGGGCGGCCGGGGAGTGGGTGGGGCTGGGACAGAAGCCGGGAAAGGGGAACCGTCCACTTGCTCTGCTGAGTGCCAGCAGCCTAACCAAGGGTGAGCGCCCCCCCCAGGGCCCCCGGGCCTGGTCCACAGCAGCCATCAAGACCGAGACGTGGATGTGCACACACACACACTCGCACACTACAACCACACGCACACACACCCCTCCTCACACTCAGACCTAGTGTTGAAAACACAAGCGTGTGTAAACTCAGTGAGGGATCTGCACAGCAGGAATGAGGCAGGAGCCCCTTCTCCCCGAGGCTGGACCACTGACTGGGGTTCTCCTCCGCTGACCCCCCGAGTCCTCATTCAGATAGCGACATCAGAAAATCAGGTTAAAAATTAAAATTAAAAAAAAAAAAAAAATCAGACCGTTGGGAATTCCCAGTCAGACGCCACCACTGGGTGCTGCCTGCCCAGTGGCTGTGCCGTGGCCCACGCCGCCCTCCGGGTCCTGGGCTCCGCGGCTACTGGGAGGAGGCCTTGGTGGCCAGGGAGGCCACGCAGTGCTGCTGGAAGCTGGGCGACACGGCGGCCGTGCAGCCGAGTCTCTGGTGCGGCAGCTTGGCGGCGCCGCCCGTGCCCACGCCGCCCACGTCGGCCCCCGCCGTCCAGGGCGGGTCCTGGCCCACCTTGCTGCCGCAGCAGCCGGGGCCGGCGCTGCATGTCCGCTCGCCCGCCGGGCTGCCCGCCTGCTCCGCCAGGAGCCTGCTGTGCCTCAGTGGGGCCGCGTCCCCCGCAGCCGCGGCGGCCGCGCTCTGGCCCTGCAGCACGGTGGCGATGTGGTTCAGGAGGTCGGTGAAGAACTCGCTCACGCCCTCGTAGCCTGGGGGTGGGAGAGACAGACAGCGCTCAGGCACGGGGAACGGGGGACAGGCGGCCAGCGCGGAGGGAGAGGGGGCGCAGCAGGTCGGGGGGCCGACCGGAGCTGCACGGCCCGACTCGGAGCCAGGTGTGCGCGGCCCCGGAGTGCGAGACACGGCAGAACCGGAGCCGGCGAGAAAGCGCCTTCCCGGGCACAGCTTCAGAAGCTCACGCAGTCACACGGCGCAGCCAGAGGCGGCAGACCGGAGGCCCGCTCCCCCTCGCGTTCTGAGCCGCAAACACCCCTTCCCACCACGCGGCCTGGCCTCAGCTCCCTCGAGTGTGGGCTGAGGACTCCCGGGAGGCTCCTGTGGGCATAGCTGAGGGGGCGGGTGGTGCCTGGTCCAGGGCTGCTGCTCCCAGAATTGAGTCCTCACCCCCCAAATGTCTGCGGGCTGCTGCATGTGCCATATGCACTGGGCCTCCGGGCCCAGGGGCGCAGACTGAGCACCCCAACGGACACCTAACAGACTGGGGTCCCGGTCTCCCCGGAAACGGCTGGGGCCTGCCGTCCCCACGCAGATGGGAGTGGGCATGTCAGCACGTGAGTCCTGGGGAGCCACCCCGGAGCAGAATGAGGGTCTGGGCTGAGGGTTTTGCTGACTCCTAAAAACTGCTTCGTGAGACATACGACGCAGGGTGGGTGCCCCCACCTCCCTGAGCCCATCTGGCAGGGTGAGAACCAGGCACACGGCTGCAAAAACAAGGGTCAGGAAGGCGGGAGGTGCGTCCCTGAAGACCAGTGTGCCCGCCTGGAGGGGCCCTGGGCATGGTCCACACCCCGCCCCACACGGCTGCGAGCCCTCCACCACGGTGAGCGCTCAAGTGCGGGAACAGGCAGGGTGCGTGGACTTCTGCAGGGGAGCCTGCCCAGCACCCAGAGGGCGGGGTGCTCAGCAGACAGCTGCCGAGGTTTGCGGGGAGCCCGTGGCTGTGAGGGGGCAGCAAACGTGCTCCAGGAGAGATAAAAGTGGGTGAGGGGCTGGCCCACACGGTGCCTCTGTGGGCAGAACGTCCCCGCACTTAACCTTCACAATTCAGAGTTAAGTGACCGGCCCCAAAGGGGGAAAGCGCCGCTGAGAGGTGCACTTGCGGCAGTTCACCACGAGGGTGAGGCCCGCGAGGACGTGCTGGGCCCGAGTTCACCCAGGCTCAAAGCGCCACCCCGGGCCCAGGGTCGCCCTGCTTTACAGAGGGGGACACAGCGCCCCTAAGTGGCAGAGCCAGGATCTGAGCCAGGCCCTTGGTGCCCCTGTGCCCTGAGTACCACGTGGTGCTGGGCGTCCACCCCAGGCCTGGGCTCTTTCCACCCTGGGGCTCGGGGAGAAGGGCAGGGCGGGCCCAGGCCCCTGGGGAGCCACCAGCAGGCGCGCTGCTGGGTTTCCAGGGAAGGGACACAGGCACGGGAGGTGAGCTGGAGCCACGCCGGGCCAACTCCAGGCAACAAAAGCCGTGCCCTCGGCAACCGCTCGGCTGTCCCCAGACGAGGCCTGGAAGCCCGGGTGGGGTCTGCGCACTTCCTGGCGGGGGACGGGGGCCTGAGGGTGGACAGGAGGCCACTCTGGGCCCACAGCTCCTCAGCTGAGAGGCGAACCAGCACCCCGGAGCCCCAGCTCAGGGCTGGGCTGTGCAAACGCCACCTCCTGTCTCTGCCAGATGGGAGACAGCCCCCCAGGAGCTCAGGGGCAGGACGCCTTGTGGTCAGGAGTGCGGGTGACCCTGCGGGCTGACCTGGTTGCCGGGTGACTGTGGACAAGTCACCCAGCCCCCGCCTCCACGCCCCTATCGGTAGACGAGGCGCCGCGGTAAGGCCCTCAGGGCAGGCCTGGGGAGGTGAGCCCTGGCGGGCACTCAGAGGCCACAAGGCCCAGACGTGTGCCCCCTGCCCCCAGGGCTCCTGCCGCCAGCAGGGCCCGCGCCCCAGCCTCGGGGAGCGCTCTCTGCTCTCTGGGGGCTCAGTGCCCCACACGTGACCTGCGAGGCCTGTGCTCCCTCCAGTGTCCCCCTTCAGCTCTTCACGTCCGCACGGGCCCACGGCACCGGCTAGGACTCGGCCCCCAGGGCTGATGCCGACGCCCAGGGGAGGAGGGTGGGAACGCGTGTTCGTGCGGGCCCACTACGAGCGCCCCCTGGCTGGGGGTGCACGCCTGACCCCGCAGCCCCGTCCGCAGGTGGGGCTGGGGCTCACCGGGGGCCACCCCATCACCCGCCGTGGACACCGGCCCCGCCGCTCACCCGGGAAGGCATTGATGTCGATGACGGCGTGCTGCCCCGTCTGGTTGTTGATGATGATGTCGATCCCAAACAGCGACACGCCCAGCGCCTGCCGCAGGGCGCGGGACAGCTCCCGGATGACCTCGTCGCTCGGCCGCTCGAACACGCCCTCGATCTTGTCCAGCTGCCGACACAGCACACACGGGGGTCAGGCCGAGGGCAGGAGGTCACGCCGCATCGCGCAGACCTCAGCTGGGAAGGCAGGACGGGCGCCCCTGGCAGGTGGTGCCAACATGGCCGCTTCCGAGGTCCTGCCAGTGGGGCAGGCCCCAGGTGCCTGGTGCCCGTCGCCTGCCTAGCCCTCGGAACGGCCGAGGAGGGAGGTCCTCACCAGCACTTCCCGCGCCGGGGAGCTGATGTGCAGCAAGGGCCCGGGCCACACAGCACGAGCATCCGGGGCTGGGTTCGTGCCCGGGTTTGTCAGCCCCTGAAACCCAACCGTCTGCCGTGGACCCAGGTGGCCTCAGGGTGCGCACAGTGTGAGCAGGACCCCCATGGTGGGGAGGGTTTGGGGGAGGGAGAGAGGCGTCAGGCGAGGCCCGCCGGGAGCAGGAACCCCACACTCGGGCAGCGGCTGTGCTTCGGCGTGACCCCCCCCCCCCCCCGCGAACGTTGGCTCCGCACAAAGGCAGGAGGGACCCTTTGTGCCCCGACCCTGCTGCCTCGGCATGTTACGGGGAAACACTCTCTGAGGGGCTGTGACAGCTGCCCATCACTCAGCACCTGCCCACCTCCCGGTCCCTCTCATTAGTGAGGAGCCAGAGGCTCAGCCCACGCGGCCGCTCGGCCACTGGTCCTGTCCACTGCGGGCTGAGCCACCAGGGACCCTCCTGGGTCTCGTTTTCCCACCCTGGTAAGCGGAGTGACACAGACACCTACACGCTGTGGGACTGTGGGGCCATGGGGCCGTGGCGAGGGTCGAGGAGGCTGAGGTCTAAGGCTCACTGCCCAGGCCCGCCAGCAATGGGGCTCCGGCCGCGGCATCTGTACCGAGTCTCCCGACACACTTTACAAAAGCACTTTCTCGGCTCAGCTGAGGAATCTCAGAAATCCCTGGGAAGCCCCTCGCTTGTCTAAAATCAGACCCACTCAGGGCAAGACGACAAGACGAGGGGGTGGAAACCCTGCCTGTGGGCAGGGTCAGCAAGGAGACATTCTGGAAAACAGGGCTGTGATGGTGGAAGTGAGCACTGTCAGGTGGCTCTCCCGTCCCAGCTACGCCGCCCACCTGGCGCTGTGCCAGGCGCTCCCTGGGCCCACAGCCACCCTGTAGGGCAGGATGGACACACCGAGGCTCGGAGAGGACACACAGCCGGGGCGTAGAGGAGCTGGGGCCGGACCTCAGCACCCACACTTTTAGCCAACACCCTACACCGGTGTTTGGGGCCTGCGAGCTGGGCGTGGGAGCTGGGTCCCCCCTCGAGGTACCCAGCTATGGATGGGGGCAGCTTCCAGGCCAGGGCAGGGCTCCCTGCAGGAGACTGAGAAGGGACGCAGGGCCCCCCCGGCCCCCCCGGCCCCCCCCGACCCCAGGCACGGGAGAATAAGGGGTGTGTTGGGAATGGAGCCCTCCATGCCTGGCCAGCCTGCAGCCAGAGAGGCTTACACCCTAGACGGAAAGGGGACAGCCAGCTGCATTTCCCTTCTCAGTCCTGGGGGTTCCTGCCCAGCAGCCGTGAGCTGGGGCAGGGGAGACAGAGGCAGACAGGCCCCGGAATGCCCCCAGGCTGACTCTCCTATCTTGCAGATACAGAAACGGGCGGAGTGGGAGACAGGTGACTCTTCACAAACATCCTTTTGGGTGAGTCACTGCTTGTGGCCCTCGCAGGGACCTTCTGGCCTCTGAGAGGTCTGTGGAACGCTGACCGCCCTCCGCCCTGGCCGAGTGACGTCTGACAGCCTCTCGGGAAGAGCCCTGTGGAACTGGGCTCGCCTCAAGTGTCTGAAGCTTAGGAGACCAAAAAGCCCTTTAAAAAAGAAACAAACACCTCTTTCTTGCACGGACTACTAACATTTTGCAATGCGCACACCCAGGCACCGAGGGCAACGCGCCGTGTAACGCCTGCTTGTCCCCCAGACCTCCCTGACTGGGACACTCACCGCTGAGAAGTGTCTGTCCCCACCTCAAGGGACGCTCGTGCTCCCCCCAGGCCCCTGCCCACACCTGCGCTCTGTCAGACCCTCAGCACACAGCTGGCTCCTCCGAGGAAGTGGGAACGCACGAGACAGGACTGGTGGCCTGGGCTGGAGGCCCTGACATGGAAGGGGAGGGCGTGGGGCCCGAGGCCCAGGTTACACTGGACCTCATTGGCGGGCCAGCTCAGGACAGCGAAGGGGACACGGGCGAGTCCTCCCAGAACAGCGGGGACGGCTGGGCCTCGGGGGGGGAAGGAGACCCAGCAGAGGGTGGCCCTGCGGCAGCTTTCACGTGTCTGCGTCAGAGTCCCCAGTGGGACAAACAGTCCTGAACCCCTGGGAGGCCCAGCTTTGGCACCGGACCGACCTGGGTCCGGCCTAGCTCTGCCCGAGGTCAGCATCCCTGTGAGCTTGGGGAGGCCGCTCAGCTTCCACCCTCGGGAAAGCGGAGTCCCCCTGCCCGCCCACCCCTTCGAGGCCAGGTCCGGGCCTGGCTTCGAGGACACAGGGCGTCCAAAGGGGAGCTGGACACACAGCAACATCCCCTGACCAGCAGCCCCGCGCTCACCACCCCGGGAACCGGCCCGGCACCCACGGAGTAATAGCGGGCTCCTCACACGTGCGGGACTCCCACGGACAAGCAGAAGGGGTGGCAGTGCCTCCTCCCGCCCCTTTCACCAAGTGCCTCTTGACTGGGGGGCTCCCTCACGCAGGGAGACGAGTTAGAGAGCCTCCCCGCGCAGTAGCCCGGGGGTGTGCAGGCACGGCATGGAAGCCATCGGTACGGAGGCCGGAAGCGAGCAAGAGGGATCCTCGAGACCTCCTCGGGTCCCAACCACCCAGCTCCACTGGAGAGCTCCTCCCTGGCACCCACAGCAGGCCCGCAGCAGGCCGCCACGGGGGGAGGAGCATACCTCGGTCAGGACCGAGGACGACTCCGGCTTGGACACGTTGTGGCTGTTGAAGAAGATGGACTCACGGTCTGGAAAGGCAAACACACAGGGAGAAGCCGGTTAGCAGCCGAAAGGGACGGCGACTCCGCTGCCCGACACCAGGGGGCAGCACCACCCCAGCTGCCAGGGCCAGTGGCCGCAAGGGCTTTCAGCCTGAGTGTCCAGCAGCAGCCGCCTGGGGCCCCAGAGAGCCGGGCACCCCAACCCCGAGGAGACACCACATCACAGACAGACACTCGCCCACTCAGGGCTCCTGTTCACATTTTCTTCCCACGTGTACTGGAAATGACTGGCTCGTTAGAGCCCACCAAGGCTACCACTGTACAGGGTCAGATCTGTTGACCCCAACACCTAAGCCCCTTCCCGAAGAGTCGTGTGTCTTCCGGACACGGCGTCGGGAAGGGGGCCGGGGCGCGTGGCTCTGTGAGCAGGAAACACCGCGTGTGTGAACATCGAAGGCCCGGGGTGAGGAGGTCCGGGAACGCCGCTTCACCTGGCCCCCCCGGCACCCCCAGCCCCCGCCGGGGTCCACCCACAGAGCTCCTTCTCCGGTGGCACCTGAGAAAGGGCCAGGCTGCCATCGGCATGGGAAAGTCTCAACCACAGAGAGTTCTGCTGCTTCCCAACTACTCAGGAGAAAACAGGAACTCGGAGCGTGGATTTCCGCAGGAAACGGACCCAGGAAGCACCGTTTGGTTTGGGAAGCCGGCACAGCCCCCGGCAATGCCCTCCCTACCCCCCGTCCGCGCCGGGCTCCACTGCGCCCCGTCCGTCAGTCCCAGGGGGCGCCGAGACAGGCAGGCCGGCCCCGAGGACAGTGGGCGTGGTGAGGCTGCTTATCTGTTTGTTTGTCCCTCAGCAAGGGAGGGAAGGCCGCTGGCCCGGCACACGCGTGTCCTCACCCGGAGCACCCGGAGGGGCGGGCACGTGAACGCCGGAACTGCACAGCCGCGAGCCTCGGGCAGGTCCCGGGAAAGGCTGCCTGTCACCACGCTGCGACCCCCCAAGCATGGCAGGGGCCACGAGCCACCATCTGGCCCCCGTGCCCCAGGACGCCTGGCTTATCTCCGGGACCCAGGCCCCAGACGCGCGACGGAAGGCCGAGCAGCGTCCTGTGCCAGGGCCCAGGCCGACGGGCACCTTCTCTGGCTGCCGCCGGCTCCCACGGGCTCCGGCACCACGGCGACCCGACAGTCACACTCGAGGGAGCGATCGGGGCGGAGGCCGAACAGCAGGCAGGCGCTGGGCTGTACCTGGCGTCCTTCCCGCTAGCGAGGGACACAGGCCCCTGGCCACCCCGGCGTGCCTGGCAGTCCTCCCACCACTCCGCCCAGAGCCGGTCCAGACCGGGGGCACGAGAGATGGTCCCGGGGAGGAGCCTGGGGAGGATAAACACCCTGCAGGACGCGCGCCAAGCAGCTCCCCGACCTCTACTCCCTAAGCACTGACCACCAAGAAGAGTGGACCTTGGGCAGGGAAAGCCACACGGTCCAGAGGCCGGAGCTGCTGGGATGGGCGCTCCGGCCTTCTGCAGGCCCTGCCCACCTCCTCGCCCTGCACCCCAGCCTGGCCCAGCCCCACTGAGCTCAGGGCACCTCCCACCCACCCATGGGTGCCCAAGGTCAGTATGCAGGATGGCAGAGCAGGATGAGGAGGGGTAGGAGGGCCACCCAGAGCAGGCAGACACGAGCTCAGGGAGGCTGGAAAGCCCGCCAGAGCCCCAGGGTGCACCGCGGGGGCTAGCCAGGCCCTGGCGGGGAGGAGAGGAGCTCTCGGAGGGCTGTCTGGTGCCCGACAAGCCGGACAGACCACGCCACCCAACAGCTCCCTGTGGCTTGAAGAATGGCCCTCGGCCCAGGCCCTCCCTGAGTGCGGCTGGAGCGGGGGCGGAGGGAGCGGGGACACTGGAAGCTGCTGACCAAGAAGACGGTGGGAAGCCGAGACGGGTCGGAAGGGGTCGGAGTGACCCTCAGCGCCACTTCCTCAGGCAGCGGAGGGATGCCCAGTCCCTCCAAAGGTGGCCCGGCCAGGCCCTCGCAGGCCGCTGGCAGGACACCCCGGGCCCCGCCCACCCTGTTCCCACCACAGAGCCCTGCTGAGGAGCCATCACCGACTCCCAGTGGGGGGTGGGGGGGGCAATGAGAGGAACACGGGTTTTTTGTCCCCAGTTTACAAAATAAGAGGAGCGAACGACAAGATTAGTCTCCAAATGTCCAGTAACTCAACGGCGCGGCCAGGGGCCATGGCCACGTTTTCTTCAGGGCCTTTTGCTTAACCTTCGTGTCTCTCTCTGGGGGAGCGGGGAGGAGCTTGTCACAGAGCTGCAGACGGTGGACCGGGTCCTGTTCCAGTTCCCGTGCCCTTGTCACCGCAGCAGGGGCCCAGCCCTGACCGCCCTGTCCAGGAGCTCCCCTCACCCAGTGGTGCCCCAGGACCCTCGTATCTGGTGCCAAACGAGCCCTTTTATCATCTCTCTCCTGGTGTGCAGTCTTTCCACTAAAACGTAAGCACACGAGCACCAGGCGTGTGGCCGACCGGTTCCCTGTGGGGCCCCTCGCCCAGGGCTGGGAGCATGGCAGGTGCAAGGAAATCGGGCATTTATCGAACCCCAGAGGCTCTGGGTGAGAGACCAGCAAACTGCAGGCTGCGGGCCACATCTGGCCTGCCACCTGCGTGTATAAATAAAGTTTTACTGGAACACAGCCATGCCCATTCATTTACATAGCATCGACAGCGCCTTCACAGTTCAGTGGCAGCATCGGATAACCGCGATGGAGCTGGAAACACTCACTCTCTGGCCTTCTGCAGGAGAAGGCCTGCTGACCCCTCTGTGTGTCAGGTGGTACTGTTGTTTCACAGCGCTGTTTCTACCATCCTTTTACTGTCCTTTCCCCCAACCGGGGGAAAAAGGCCCGAGGGCTGCCAGGGCAGGGCGCCATGTCCGCAGAGTAAAGGGAACAAGTGCAGGGAGGAGAGCAGAGGAGGGGGAGACGAAGGGGCGCGGTCTCCCCGAGACAGGGAACCACAGGCAGAGAAGGGAGGAGTCCCTGATGGCTGGCACCGTCCGGCGCCACTCCCTGCATGGCAGCCTGACTTCGGCTCCAGCCGACACAGCCTGCCGGGAGCCACTGGCTGCGGACACGCCGGACCCCAGAGACGTTGGGGCGGAAAGCCCAAAGTGGGCCTGAGACTCCCAAGCGCTGGGCGGCTGTGGAGGGCAGGACCTGCCCGCAGCCCCGCCCCATGTCCTGGAGAACCCCGTTCAACTGCTCTCAGCGTCCGGCATCACGGTGGGGCCGGGGGCCACCAGGCTGGGCAAAGGGGACCAGAGACTGGGAGCAGGGGCTGGGAAGGGCCCGGAGCCCCAGGCCCCCACCAACCGGTCCAGCTCAAAGGGCTGCCGTCGGGCTGCGCTTCTCATTCGGAAAGACGGGGTGCTTGGGAGACGGACAAAGCCGCGCCGGCCCCCTGGGCGACGTCCCGAAGACGGCGGACACGGGGTCGGCTGTGGGGACGGACGGTGGACACGGAGGAGGTTACTCGGCTTGCCTCAGCACAAGCAACGTCTCTCCAGCAGCCCCGGGGGCCTATCTGCTCGCTCCTCTGGCCTGGTCCGCATCTTACGGTGAACTGGCCGCTTGGGAACGGCCCCAGGAGGGCACCCCGACCTGGAGCCTGCCGCTCACTGGCCCGGGGTCCCCCCTTTGCAACCAGGAGGAAAGGGGGACACGTTTTGTGTGGAAAGGAAGGCAACTGTGGTAAATTTCTTTGAGAGGTGGAGTGATTACATTTTGAAAAAGGAAAAAGAAAGAGTACTACCTAAGGTACAACTACTCTCAATCTAATACACTTTGCAGAGATTTAAAGCATGTATTTTTTAAAAATCAGAAAAATAATAAAGAGGACTTTGAAAAAACATCGGCCCCCGGCGGCCCACAGTTTTCAAGAACGCCTCCTGTTCCTCCGCCGTCACAGAGAAAAGGCCCCCACAGACAGACGTCTGTAGGCCCGGCTCCAGGTCAGCCCATCCTGGTGGGGGGGGGGGGGGGGGGGCTGGGATGGGATGAGGCCTGGGCTGTGCTGAACCCTGACAGCCTACAGCTGCCTGGAGCCCTGGAGCCCAGGCCGGGCTGGGAGGCGCCTGCACCCGGAGAGACACTCCCCACGTGTCTGCGGCTCGCTCGGGGCCGCGCTCACGGGAAGACAAAACCAGCTGGGCCTCAGTCGAGGGAGCGGCCCGGAGCCACAGGGCTGTGACAGGCAGTCCCGGCAGAGGGACTTCAGGAAGACCTGTCTGTCTGCTGGGGGGGGGGGGGGCGGGGAGCAGGGAGTGCAGCCAGGACGCCCCGAGTGGCAGCGGGCTCCCCTCGTGGAGCCCGGGCGCTCGGGCCGCCAGGCCAGGGCCAGCCGACGCCCTACGAGGGGCCTCTGGGGAAGCCAGGCTCAGTCCCCGGACGCTGCCCCGTTCCAGAGGTTTCTGGAACTTGCCCTGGAGACGCCTTCAGAACCACTGGGGCGTTCTTCCGAGCAGCCCCAGTACCCGCAAACCGGCGTCCTAGTGTCCGTTTTGGAAATGACCACGGGTCAGTGGGTGTCAGGTGAGCTGCTGAAGAAAGGCTGGGCCCGTGGAGCCCCCGGCCTCCCTGGAAGACCCCTCAGGCACCCCAAACACCAGCGCCACTGCTGTGTGACCTCCGAGGGGCACTCGGCGGGTCTCTCCAACTTGGGGGACACAAGTGCTCCACCTTCAGATCATCGCAGCCCCTCCAGAGACAGCGCGGGGGCGGGGCCAGCGCCCAGGGCAGCCCGAGAGGGCGGGGTGGGGGGCGGTTACCTGACATGCCCGCGGAGAAGTTCTTGAGTGAGGGCCGCTGCACCACCGTGTAGGACTCGCCGACCACGAACACTTTGTACAGCACGGCGTTGTGGTTGATGAAGTTCTGGACCACGCAGGGCGGCTGGACGGCACTCAGGCCCTCCCGGTTGAACACGATGGCCATCTGCGGGGACAGGGCTCTGTCGGCGCACCACCCCGCAGCCTTGCACCCAGCGGCGCACCCACCCCCCCGCAGCCGCCGCGGGGCCGTCCCTGTCCGGCGGCAGGAGGACTCGGGAAGTGCGGGGAGACTGTGGGAACCCCGCACCATCCGGCTCGCTGTGCCAGCCAGGCTGGCTGCACTGGGCAGCACACCGCAGTCCAGGGACGGGACCCCCGGGCGTGTGCCACTCAACCCTCAGGACACCCTTCGAGGACCCTCCACGAAGGCCCAGGAAACGGAAGGCTGGGGAACAGGGGCCGGGGGGCCCGGGGTCAGAGCCCTCGGGGTGGCCAGGGCTGCCTCTCACTGGGCGCCCACGACACACCCGTTCTCCCCACTGCGTGAGTCACCGGGCAGTGTCCCCCCAAGGCACCTCCAAGATGGGCAGCGTCGCCGTGCCCCGCAGTGACCATCTCCTCGGCCTTCGGGTGCGAGCAGAGGCAGCAGGAGGGTGGGGCGTGGGTCCCGCCATAGCTCCCGCACCCACCGCGCAGGTGCAGGCAGGGGCCTGCCCTGTTTCACTCCAGTCCTGTCACCTGTCCGGCAGCACCAGCCGCCACAGGACGGGCTGGGGGTGGGGCGCTCCGGGCTTTGGCTCGGGGGTTTAAAAACCAGCGGGGGAATGCTCCACCGTGGAGCACACCCGTGGGCTTGCCTTGGCTTAAAGACGAAGCACGGAGCCGAACCGCCCTGGGAACGCACCAGGCACGCACGCACGCAGGGTGTCCTCCAGGGGCTGAGCAGCACGCAGCCGGGGGTCCTCCCCGCTGCCCTCGGCGTCCCCGGCACCCCTGCTCAGGCGGGCTGCGGAGACCCACGAGAGGGGGTGCCCCTCTCGGGCTCAGAACCGCCCAGGAGGCAGGGGGCCCACAGCGCCAGGGCCCTGGGAGTCTCCACACTCCAGGCCGTCTACCTGGGGGGGACCTCCCCGAAACAGCACACTGTGGGTTGGAGCAGGGCGGGGAGGGGGGGGGTGCGTGCATGGGTTGGAGCCAGACTGAGAGACTGAGGGGTGCAACGGCCTCCCCTGCAGGCACTGGCCCCGGGCCCGAGGGCCAACCCAGCGCCACGGCCCCTCTGGCAATGACCCAGCAGGTGCAGCGAGCACTTCTTGGGCCGGGCCGGGCCCCACAGCAGCTCTCGAAGCCGCTCCCCAATGCTTCACAGCGCCATCAGGGCCCCGGTTGCAAGCCTGGGCCAGACGCTCAGGGAGCCGGCCGAGCGCAGGGCCGGGCCTGGCCCAGGTCCATGTGAGTGGCGGCCTGCCTGCCTCCCCCCCCCGCAGGCCAAGCTGTGCTGACTGGGCCGGTCCAATCACGTCACCCTGGGACTGTGGGCACCCTTCCATCCCAACACCCCCGACGCACAGAGGAGCTGCTTGGGGGAACAGGGCAGGCGAGAGGCTGGCAGGCCGGGGCTGCTGCCTGTGAGGACAGCGTGGGCTCCAGGGACACAGTCTGGCTGCTCTGAGCCTCCTTCCTGCTCCCTCCCGGGGCCTGGCACAGAGCCTGGGCAGGCCGGGATGGGAAAGGCTCCACGAGGGCTCCCCACCTCCAGGGACGGCTGACCTCGGCAGTAGGCCACGGCCCCGCCCCCACGTTCCTTCCCACAAGCAGAAGTGCCCGTGGCCTCGCGGCCCCCATCACGCATGTACCGCAGCATGCTGCCCAGGTCAGTTCAGAGACACTTCCCCACAAGTGCACGCCAGGGGCAAGGGGCACCGCTGCTGGGGTCACCCATGGTCAGTTGTGAGGTCTCAGGGAAGATCTCCACGGTGGGCTCCCAGGGCCAGACTCTCCCAGGGGGTCTGCTCTGTGGCTCAAATGTCTACTGCCCAGCGCACCCACCCCTGCGCCTAACAGGGAGGCCCCCAGCCCAGGCCCTGTGGGCGCCAGATGCAAGGGGGCGTGGGGGGCTGAAGGCTGTGCCCCAGGTGTGGCTCCCAAGGGTGGTGAGGGCGGTGAAGACCCATTGGAGTCCTCGCTCCTCTGGCCCCCGAAAGGCCTCCTCATGTGTCACCTGCACCGCAGCCCCTGGTGCTGTCTGTCTCCCACCAGGGGTTGGGACGCACATCTGCAGCACCTGCCCCTGGCCCCCGAGGTGGGGTCGGAACGGCCGCTGGGGGAATGAGGACGGGACGAGAGGGTGCAGGGAGGGCGCCCCACCCTCCTCCAGGAGCAGGACAGGGGGTGGGACATAGCCCCCAGTGGGGCCTGGGTCGGCCGTGTCAGTCCCCAGACCCCCCACTCACCTCATGCGAGTTGGTGCCGTGGGCCACTCTGGTCTTGCAAACTGTGGTGGGTGGGGCGAGAGAAGCGGAGAGGAATCAGCGAGGTCACTCATCCACGAAGCCTGGCCTGGCGGGGCCAGCGGGAAACGCAGACCTCAGGGTGGGGGGCGGGGAGACATGGGCGGGACAGCGGCCGGCACCTGTGCTCAGGGTGAGCTGGGCCACAGAGCACCTTCCGTCCACACCACCCAAGGACCCATTTCCACAGCGTGTGTGTGTGGGTGGGTGGGTGTGAGGATGAAGACCCAAGGCCAGGCCCTCCCTGGCAGAGAAGTCCTTTATTCACCCTCCAAAAGTGTAAAGCCAGGGGCCACAACAGCCCCCCGGGCCATGGCCTGCCTGCCTGCCCACCCGCCCACTGGGGCCCCGGGCGGCACGCACTGAACGGGAAGGCCAGGCCGTTCTTCTCCAGGAGCCGCATGGTGTCGTCCCCGCACAGGCTCGTGAGCTCCATGAAGGGCGGCGAGCAGATCCGGTCGTCTGCGGACAGAGGAGATGCCGAGTCAGCACGCCTGCCCGCCGGCCACCCAGGGCCTGCTTCCTGGGACACACCCACCCCTCGGGGGCCACCCTCAATGCCCCTGCTCCCCCGATCTGGTGCCCCAAACTCCACCGTTGTGTGGGAACACACACAACAGCATATTTTAAAATGACACCGTCTGCCCTGGCTGGTGTGGCTCAGTGGGCTGAGTGCTGCTGGCCTGTGAACCAAAGGATCACGGGTTCGATTCCCAGTCAGGGCACATGCCTGGGTTGTGGGCCAGTAGGGGGTGTGTGAGAGGCAACCACACACTGATGTTTCCCTCCCTCTCTTCCTCCTTCCCCTCTCTCTCTAAAAATAATCTTTAAAAAAGTCACACCGCCTAATAACGTTTCTATAATTATAAAACCAACGTATAATTATATAACCAGAGATCAAAGAAAAGTAAAAACCACACACATCTCCACCACCTCCTTCGCCTTAATTGAGGCGCACGCACGTTAATGCACACAGAGCTTTACAACAGAATACTGTTGCATAACCCGAATTCTCACTCAATAAACAGAGAACATTTTCTGGCTCGTTAAAGACTCTCCCCCCCCCGCCCCCCCCCCCCCACGCTGTGTCGGCTTAATGACAAGCACAGGACCGAGCCTGCACCCTGAGCCCTCGGCGCCGTCCAGCTCTGTGCCGGGGCTTTGCCCGAGTCCCGTCTGCAGTCTGCAAAACCACCCCCAGGAGGAAACCGGGGCCGGGAGATTACGGGGCGTGCCAGCGGTGGCTGCACGGCCACGCCTGCCCTTGGCAAGGCCAGCGGGGCTCCCGCCCGTCGGATCAGCCAGGGCCTGCTGCTCTGTGCCGCTGGCTCACTCCTCCAAGCACGCCCCCCACCCCCCCACTCCAGCCCCTGCCCAGTGCTGCCCCTTCCGTGCCTTCCTCCTCATCACCTGGGCCTCCTGGGCCTCCTGGGCTGACGCCCACCCAGTGGATTCTAGGCATGTGGTTTTTGGAAAAGCTCTTGGAGCTGAGCCCACCCCGTTCACCGGACACCTCCGGCCGGTGCCAGGCCCTGAGTGAGGGCAAATTCGTGGCATAACAAGTGCATTCCGACGCTGCCTACCGAGTGTTAAGTTACACGACTGGTTTATTATTCCTGCTTCTTGTCTAGTGCCCTTCCCTGATCAGATCACCGGCTCCTCGGGAGGCGGGACCACCCTGTACTTTTGGGCACAGGGTCCGGGAAAGCTGAGCATTAGTGGGGTGGGGGTACCCCCCCACACACACACACACAAACTTGGAATCTGAACCAAAGTAAACAAGCAAAACGGCTGGTCTCCCACGGCTTTCAGCCACTCGGCTGGCTGGGAGGTCAGTGCATTAGCCCAAGCTGAGGTCCGGCCTCGCATGCCTCACGAAGACGGAGGCCAAGAACCACACAGCGTGCATTAAAGGTGCTTCAACGTCCCTCCTTGTCCCCTCACCCCAGAAAGTCCGAACTCCGAGCGGGCAAGAGTGTGCGCCAGTTTCGGGGTCGCAGAGCTCCCGAGGGACCCGGGAGGGTGGTCTGGAGCCAGAGCCGGCCAGGCCCTGGCAGACGGTGCCGCAGCCCCCCACGGAGCGCTCACCGCGCTGTGACAGTGCGCCCGCGCCAAAACAGAGGCCCAGGAGGCAGCCTTTGCCAAGGTCACATGAAGTTCAGTGCCAGAGCCAGGATGAAGGGCCAGGCTCCCGTGGCAGGCCAGGGAAAGGTAAGCCAGGGCCATCAGGGCGGGGATACGCCCCGGCTCTTCGCTAGAGGCCATTACCCAGACCAGCCCACTTCTGCGCCCCCAGCCTGGATTCGAGGCAGGGTGCAGGCTCTGGGGAGGGGCTGGCAGACCTTCTACGACTGCAGAGGGGGAGGGAGCAGGGTGCAAAGGCTCAGTGCTGCAGACACACACGCCCTGCGGGCCAGCCCCGACGGGTGGACGGACGGGCATGACTCAGGCCCGAACAGGCGAGGGTGCTGCAGGGCGGGCTCAGCACAGGCGCTCACCTGGGCTGGCAGCGCCCCGCCTCAGCCCACGCTCTCCTCTGGGGGGAGACTCAGGGACCGTCCTGGGCCGACAGGTTGCCTCCTGTCCGAGTTCCCAGGCTCCCCGCCACCCGACTTTTCGGAGCAGGTGACTCAGCCTGGCTTTTAGGTTTGCCTGGCAATGACCTCCTCGACTTCTCCCACCCCAGCCCATCTGAACCTTCACACAGTGTCAGTGCTAATGGCCCACACCTCGGGGAGCCGCACTGGCACTTACCGTGTGCCAGACGCTGCCCCACCCAGTCTGCGAAGCACCGCAGGTGCTCCCACAAGAACCCTGTGCGGAAGCAGTCACCCTGTTTCACAGAGGGGGACACAGGGGCACAGAGAGGTGGCGTCCCTCACACGGCGAGTGCTGCAGCCGCACGGCTCACACCTGGGCAGCTGGCTCCCGAGTCCGTGCCATTGACCACGGCCTCCCAGCAGAAAAAGCACCGTCTGCACGTGGACAGAAGGGAAGAAACCCCCACGATCCTGCCAATACAATAGATGCAGAAAAAGCACCTGACAAAGTCTAACACCCACCCCCTCCCCCCGTGATACAAACATTCAACAAACCGAGAACTGAAGGGAACCTTCTCGACCTGACCGAAGGGCATCGACAAAAACCCACAGAAACACCCTCCTTGTGGTGAAAGACGGGACTCTCTGCCCAAGACCAGGAGCGGGACGAGGACTCCACTCCCCGAGTGTTCGACGCTGCACCGGAGGCCGCCGGCAGCCAGGCAATTAGGCAAGAAAAGGAAGTAAGAGGCACCCAAGCTGGAAAGGAAGGAGCGAAACCACCTCGTTTGCAGATAACACGATCTTGCGTAAGTAAAATCCCAAGGAACCCACACACAAAAACCCAGAAGTGGTTAGAATTAGTAAGTTCAGCAAAACTGCAGGACACAAGATCAATATTCAAAGAAGCCATTGTATTTCTATAACCTAGCAATGAACAATTCAAATGTGAAATTAAGAAAAAAAATTACACTTCAGTTGCATTCAAAGATACTGAAAAATAAACTTAACAAAGATTTAAACATTGAAACCACCAAACTGTTGAAAGAAATTAAAGAAAATAACAAAACGACAGAACAAACTATGTTCATGGACAGAAAATTTAAGATCATGAAGCTGGCATTTTGCACAGGGCCACTGCACCAGAATCCCAACTTCCTTTGAGTGGGAATTGACAAGGTGACCCTAAAATCCACGTGACAATGCGGTGGACCCCGACGGCCACAATAACCCTGAGGAAGAGGAGCGAAGGTGGAGGAGGGCTCACACATGCCAATTCCAAAACGTGCTGCAAAGCCACGCAGTCCAGAGAGCGTGGTGGCGGCGTGACAACAGACAGACAGACAGTTCATCGGGACAGGCTTGCGAGTGCAAACCCAGACCGCACAGCCGCCGTCGACGGTTTTGCACGGGGCGCCAAGACAAGGGGACAAATTCTCGGCCAACGGTGCTGGGACGAGTGGGCATCCGCGTGTAGAAAACACAGTAACGGTAAAGAAGAGCGGGGGCCCCGCCTCCCACCAGACACACCGGCCGATCGCCAGGACCGGGCTCTGAGTACCCGCTCCACGACCGGACGCTCTCCGCGGAAACGCCGGTCTGATGATCGTCACGGCCGTGGGGCAGGCGGGGCTTCTTCAGACACGGAGGGCACAAGCAGCCAAAGTAAAAACAGATAAATTCGACACTCTCAAAATAAAAAACTTCTGTGCTTCACAGAACACTGTCAAGAAAACGAAAAGGGAACCCACGGAATGGGGGAAATATCTGCAAATCGCTTATCTGTTTAGTGTCCAAAATACATAAAGAACTATTAATAAACCAGTAATGAGAAGACAACCCACATCGAAAGTGGGCAAAGGATTTAAATAATTCTCAAAACAGGACCTATGAAAGGCCAAGAAAAACATGCGAGAAGACGCGCAGAACCACTCGCCACCCAGGAATCGGGGGGGGGGGCATGGGAAACGCACAGCGAGACGCTGCCCTGCACCCGCCCGGGCGGCTCCGGTCGGAAAGACGGACGGCGGACCCCACGTGCCGGCCGGTGCTGCCGGCGCGGGTGGAGAGCGGTGCGGCTGCTCGGGGACCAGGCTGGCAGCTCCCCAGTTAAACACGGTGACACCACGGCCCACCCTTTCCCCTTCTAGACACGGACCCCAGAGAACGGGAACAGGCGTCCACACGAACTCCTGTCCAGGGGGTCACGTAACCGTGGCCCGCAGCCGTCCAACAGCACCGGCGGCCCGAACGTCCGCCGGCCGACGAGTGGACACACGGCGCGCGGTGTGTGCGCACAGGGGTGCCGGCAGGAAGCCAGGCACAAAGGCCCCGTGCTGGGACTTCGATGACCTGCAGCGTCCAGAACGGGCAAATCCTCGGAGACTGGGGGCCGCCAGGGCCTGGGGGCATTGGTGGGGGGCGGGTGGGGAGTGACCGCTGACGGGTGCGTTTCTTTTTGGGCTGATGAAAATGTTCGCAACGAGACACTGGCTGTACCACTTTGCGAATATATTGAACACTAACGCGTGGTACGTACCCTTTTAAAATGTGGGTTTTATGGTGAGTGAGTTATATCAATAAAAAAAAGAAAAGAAGAAAAACGCTCCATGGGACGCCGGGCTGAGCAAATGCTTCACACGAAGTACCCCCTTAAATCCACCAGCAGACCCGCAGAACCCCGTCCCCGCGCCCACCATCCCGCCAGATCCGGGGTGAGGTCAGAGGAGGACAGGGGAGCGCGCCCCTAGAGGTGCCGGGGGTCAGGTGAAATGCAGAGAGAAGACGCGGCCAATGAGTGGGCCACGTCCAGCATCAGGTCGGACGCCCCCACCGTCCGGAAATTCTAGGTTCTGACCCACGAGGTGGCAGCCGGGAGGTGCAGGGCCCAGCAGAGGTGGCAAAGGACCGAGGGCACTGAGG